AAATCCGAGGTCTTTCATTAACTATTTCACGTATCGGCGGTGAAACTACGTCTGCAGACCACGTATCTCCGTTTGCGACGTCGCAGACCTCCTGTCATACCATGTTTTTTAAATGGAAAAATATTCAACTTTACTTCTTGGAAATTTCAGTGATTTTTCTTCTCTGTGCAAGGACAATTATGTGGTAACTGGAAGGAATGACGTCAGTTTGTTCTCTTTCAAAAAAATAAAAATGAGAGCGGAGATTTTTTAACACCGGATACGAGATACGCGTTTCGGGGGTGTCGCCGTCTATATAAGTCTAGTGTCTTTTGTCATATCATTGCTTGAAAAAAAGTAAGTCGTTTCACTATCCCTGCGCTTTAAAATGTATACGCTTTTTCAAGCCCATGTTTTATTTTTTCCATCGTAATTATAAGTAAACATTATTCAAGCTCTGAGCACAAATTGTATATTTTTTTGTAACTTATTTTGTAACTTAACAAGTTAAAAGGCGGAAAGAAAAAAACCAGCTTTCAGTGGAAATTCTTCAAATTTGAAAGTGTTGTTTTCCCTTCATTGTGCGTAGTCGAATCGCAAATCGAACTCGCAAAGTGCGAACTTGTGAGAACCGCTACATTTGGCGTGTAAGTTTTACGTGGAAATTAAGCTTTTAAAACGTTATTTTTTACCTCATCTGCCGCAATTTTTTATTAGGTTAGTGACGCTGTAGGTATTTGTGATTATTAACATGATAGCATTGTAGAGAATATTATATAGTGATAAATCTGAGGAGCTTTATCCAATTGCTCTCCTAGGTGAGGGCCGCGTGGCGCTATTCCTCATAAATAAGAGATAATAGTCTTTATTTCTCATCAAACTGCAGCTCCGGAATGCTTGAGTAGCTAAAAAAACCATACCGGATGTAGAAACTAAATTGAACTTTAGACCCTTTGACCTACTGAGGAAGGAGAGGAACAGGGGATCGTCCAATGTAGAGTCGTGGGAACTGCATCCTTGAATTTCTGCTAATTGTCAGAATATTGTTAAGTCAACATTAATGAGCTAAAAAGTTTTAACACATTTAGAAGTGTATCACTTCTTAAATTTTCTCTCATTTACACGTACGAAATTCACGACTAGTATGATTTTTTATAAGTTAATGGCTTAGTTTTTCACTCTTCTTTTGGCCCTGAAGTCATCACTTCACTCGTCGTGACGCATTGTAAGCTCATGTTTCAGCGGATTTTTTGCTATCATTTCGCGACTGTTTCGCGGTCAATGTTTCGCCGAAACTAGCTAATCTTCTGCAGAGACACGAGAGAGAAGGTTGCGGGTGGGTGAGGAGTGAGGTGAGTAGCTTAGAGGAAGGCAAGTGCGAGATAAGTTTTATGCGAAATACGCATTAACATTCGAATGAAGTACACATATATAGATGAAAAATTAGAACCAGCTCATCATTTCTCAAACTCTATGATGTTAGAAGTCAAAACTTTCATTTTAAATGTAAGTTTCTTCGAATCATAGAGGGGCCATCCCTAAATCACGTAACTCTCCAGCGGCGCGATTATTGAAATTGATGGACAAACCTATAGACAAAGAAGACATAGGGAGTCTGAAGCTATCCTATTGGTTGAAATGGGTGGTTCCTATAGACTGAGGGAGAAAATGATGGACTGAATATTGACTCCCTCGTGGGTTGCCGTTAGTTAGTCTATTACCCACTCTCTTTGTCCATTGCAACCACCCGCTTCCATCAATAGGATCTCTCCATATTTCTTCTGTCTCCTTTATCTATAGCTTTGTCTACAGATACCAATAATCGGCTCGCAGGGAGGAGGGGGCCAAGGAGAGCCTTACGTGATTTTGTTTTTACTAAAGGGTATAAGGACCTATCTCACGAAAGCGCTACTTGGGGGGGGGGGGGGGGGAGGTCCCCCAAATGCCGAAAGAGTGCGTTACGTAATTCAAAGACGGCCCAATCGTGTAAAAATGGTGCCAACGTGCGTTATTAATTGCGCTTCCCAATTTGTTCCCTCGACGGAATCCTAAAATGTAATTTGCAAATATTTTCAGTTTTCATTGCTCGTTTTTTCCCTCTCTTTTTCTCTTCTATGCCTTCTTTCATCCAACTTTACTTCACTACGTTGCCAACATCTTTTGTTTTTTCCTTCTGACCTCTTTTTTGAACTCTTGAGTATCCAATCAAAAGCAATTTTTTAGTGTGTGATTTATGGTCAGTAAAATATTAGCGTTTAAATCACAGTTTTATGGCTCATTAACTCGTCTGGCGTTTCATAAAAACATTATTCTGTAAAAATAATTTCTTCAGATTTATTTGTGCATCGTCTTTTAATTGTAAGTCAGAAAGCGATCGTGAAGCGATTAGAGATGGATTGCGAAAGGGTGCATCCCCCAGTTCAAGCTGATGATAACCTATCGAAATCGATTTTATTCATATCTCCATAGTTCAGGAACCGCGCTGGGCCTTGTTTTACTGCGAACTTTGTTCTCCGACATCCTAATTTAGATCGGAAGGAACCGTCACTAAGCAAACTGATTAAAAAAGTGAGGTTTGTGACACCGAAAATTGACTCGTGCCGTGTGCATGGGGAGCTTGCCAAATTGGACAAATCGTTACTGAAATAACATCAAACAGAAAAAAATATAGATTTTTTTCCCCGTGGAAAGAATTTTTCAGGCTATTTCCCGTATTTTCTGAAAAATTGGCACCAAGGGCATGCCTGTCTTACACGTAATTCAAAGGGGGAAGAGGTTTTCTAATGGGTGCCTTAGGATAGGTGGGAAGGGGGGAGGCAAAAAGTCGGGCAAATGTCATACGTGATATCTGGACGCCCCCAACCCCTGATTTACTGATTGGCCCGCAACTGGTCGAATGCATTCTTTTTCTATCTCTCGTTGATAATTTTATCGTTTGTTTACCTCATTTTTTAACAACATTCATAATTATTTTCTCGTCCTCCCGTGGCCCGTAGCGTATGATTAGAGCCTCCTACAGTATTGTACCACGTGTCTTTTTTGATCAGAGGTTTTACTACAAAGTTTAAGGAATCACGTGGACTCATACAAATGTCCTTTGAAATGGATTAAAATGATTCATATCTATAGGCGTGTCCATTGGAATTTGATTTGATATGATTCCACTCCGTACACATCAATTTTTAAATGGTACTTTAGTAGAGATCAGATAATTTGAGCTCTTAAGCCATTTGGTCGCGCAATGATTTACTGTGCAATTCCAAGCTGAGCTTACCTTTGTTCACCGAAATTCATCGATTTTTTTGACGCGACGGCAATTTTTTCAGTTCTTAATTATCATCAATAATTCTCAATTTCCGATCATGCAGACAAAACCGTATCTATGATGAATAATAGTATATCGACGGCGCAAGTCCTCAATCACATATTTCGTTTCCGGTGTCTGAAAATCTCCGCCTCTATGTTCTTTTTTTAAAAGAGAAAAAATTAATATCATTCCTTGAAGTTTCTGCAGAATTTTCTTCGCACAGAGAAGAAAAGTCACGGCAGTTTTAAAGAATTGCCGTTGAGCAGTTTTCCCCGTTTAAAAAATAAATGACAGGAAGTCTGCGACGTCACAAACTGACTAATGTGATTGCCCACTTACACCGTTAATATGTAGAAAATATGTAGACTTTCAAGATGGCATTAAGAATCACCGAAAATGCGCACTTTAATATTGCCTTGTTCTTTCTCTAAAACCATTTGCCGTCATATTACGCACGCCCTCAAAGTTCCTTACCATCAGATATAAGCAATGCTATGCACGATAATATCATTATGAAAATGATTATTATCCCCTGGATTTGTCTCGGTCGATTGGGTTTTCTCATATGTTCGGTTTCTCATGGTTATCCCACTTATCCACCGACGTAAAATGCATCCATCGTTTTTGAGGAATGAGGAACTGTCCTGTAGGCGGATGCAATTGTAAATATTTTATTTTCTCCTATAAAGTTTTTCCCTTTCCAAACCGTCCGGGCCTTGCAGGTTCTGCCATTAAATCTGGCGGGAGACTCTCAATTGGCTCTCATTACGTCTCCGCCCGCGCCGTTTCAATCATCAAACCAGTATTGTACTTCTCAGGTTTTGACTTTTTCGTGCTCTCTTGTTTTTTCAGCCACGAGTTTTTTCCCCGCGATCTTTCGTTTTGAGTTTACGTCCTGTGCAAATTTGTATCGTGTCAAAACAGCTTTCAAGTGATTCGTAAAATTTTGCGTCAGCTAAAATTTTGGTCAAAAACGGTGATTTCTACCACCAGTTCCAACACCCCCAACACTTGAAAAATCTACTGCAATGTGGGTGTTAACGAACTTAAATTCTGTTGTTGCACCTGTGCTGATGATTATTTTTTTTAAAATACCTATCTATGTACATAATGGCTATGAAAAATGTAAATCTTGTTAAGTATGAACATCTGCCTTCGAGTTAAAACAAGATGTAATTATAGATTAAGCGGAAAATCGAATTTAGATATTTGTATTTTAATATTTTATATGAAACACATGAACACGACATACTGCCGTGCTAAGAAAAAACGCCGTAAGAACATTCGAAAGTTGCCAGATTTCCTCCGATAAAATGCGTATTTTTAAGGAGATTTATGAATAGTTTTCCTTTAAGTCTTCAGGAACTTTAGATGTATTGCAAACAAAATAATCCGAAAAATAGGGGGGAAAATAATCATGAGTTTTCTCGAAAATTTGTGTTTACTCAAAGGAAATTTGGCACCGTCTAAAGGTTCATACGGCGTTCTTCCTTAGCATGGCAGCATTGGTACCATTCCAGACTCGCAACCGTACGGAGCGCTTTTTACACTACCTACAATTTTACTTGCGCGCAGCGTAAGGTGCAGTAAAGAATCATTAACTGTATGAAAGAGTTATGATTTTGAAGCTCTTTTACATTTATTTAGGTGGAGCACATGCCTTAGTTGTTTTTGAACTTAAATATTGATGTGGTTTTTTCCTTTGATGTTTTAGTGAATGGGGGAGAACGGAGAGAGGGGATCATGGCGAGTGTTTGTCGCTTCCACGTCGAGAGACCTGTCTACCAGCAGGAAGAACTCAACGATGAATACAAAAGTGAAAGAACCTCATGTAAATGTAAGTATCTTCTCCCGTACCGAGTATATTTGCATCCTTTGATCACCTGTTCCCAATTATTCTCCATCCTAAATCAGGACTTACATCCTGCTGTGCTTAGGAAGAACGCCGCGCCGTATGATCTTTCAGACGTTGTATTGCCTTTCCCCTTATAAATCACGAATTTTCGGGCAAATTTGTCATTATTTGATGAAAAAAACTTTTTAAGAAGCTGGTAACAAGGCCAAAATTTCACGAATAAAACCAAAACGTTTTGGCTGAAAACTCAGCCTTCCTTAGTTGGATAAATAAAAAGAAAAATGGAAAAATTCTAAAATAATACCTGGCTGTACCTATTAAAGCGAGAAGATTCCCCTGGTAAAAATTGGCAGTAGAATCTGTGTTCCAAAATACCATAGACCCATAGCCGGCTGTAAGATTTCCAATAGCTTCTATAGCCGGCTACACAATTTCTTATAGCCTTTTATAGCCGATGGCGATTAAGCAACAGCGAGGCGATAAAGTGTATGTTAAACGTTACTAATTACGGATGCTAGGACTTAGTGAGTTTTTGGAATACTGCTCTCTTTTTGGGCCGTAGTATCTTGATTTATTTTGCGAGGAAAGCTCCGTAATTTTGATGGATGCCTGCCATTACTAATATATTAGAGTGCCTTCAGTTTCGTATGATACGGTGCAATACCTCTGGTGTGAAATAGTTGCTTCAAGCGCCGCGCCGTGGCAGGCGGGCAGCCAGCGCGAAAGACGCATTGGCGCCTACAAACCTAACAGGGATACTTCACGCATTGCGCAACGCGTGAAGTATCCCTGTTAGGTTTGTAGGCGCCAGTGCGTCGCCGCTCCGCTTTGTGTTAGGCTCT